CACAGGGCGAGCTGTTAACAGCCAAACCCCAAAAAGCAAAAACCACCCCGAGCTCATCCCGTTAATCCCACAGCCCCGTGGACGCCCTGCCGTTATCTTGGGTGCCCGTTGTGTGACCTGCGGTGGTTTTATCCCAAACTAAAAACCTTTTGGGAGCTTTGTGGCTCTCCCAGAAACGAGGGGATCGTCTGGAGTCCCCAAAAAACTTCTTTAGGGGCAGGCACAGCCCCGTACACCCCTTTGGGCTGCTGTATGGCCGCGTCCTGCCCCTGCTGCCACGCGCTTGACCCCGCTGCGAGCTGGTTCAGGAAGCTCGCCGCCTTGCTTGCTTTTTTTTCCCTTTTTTCCCCTCTCCTCCTTTTGTTGGGTTTGTTTGCCTGGGCGAGGGCGAGCCCTCGGAGTGGTTTCCCACGGGGCGAGGCGAGCGCCGCCGGGGACGGACAGGTGACGAGGACAGGGCGGTGGCACCAACACCCTGCAGGGGACGGGCTGTGGGGAAGATTCCTCCTCTACCTGCTCCAGTCGCAGGTAAAAGAGGAATCTTTCTCTTTTCCTGTGTAATTTCGGGTTATTTTCTCTCCCTTTCCCTTTTTTCCCCTCTTTTTTTTATTTCACAGTCGATGCTCGCGCTAAATCTCCGCGCTATTTGCTCGGCTTCCCTGCTGCCCGTGCTGCTGCTGCTGTTTTCAAGAGGTGTTCCAGCATCCCCCGAGGGGTCTGCCTGGAAAATTAAACCTTCGGAGAGGTTCTCGGGCTCTTTAGAAATCCCGAAATAAATAAAATAGGGACAGAATTACGTAGAGGGAGTGCTTACTCCATGTGTTTTTGGGGAGCCACGGAAAAGGAAGGGCTCGGGAAGCTTCGTGCAGGGAGTTACTTGGCTTGGCAATTAAATATTTTGTTTTCAGATGGATATTGTGCATGGCTGGAAGTCCATTTCCCCTCGCAGCATCCCTCTGGGGTAGTTTTTTCCCCCAATTTCACGGATGGGGGAATTTAAAGCTCTTTGAAAGAACGTAAAAACCCAAAATGAGGGGCTGTGCGTTGCCAAGCTGTCTCCGAGCTACTACAAACAGCTCGGTAATGGCAACATCTCCTTTTAAATTCCCTTAAATCCCCTCGTAGCCTCCAAACAAAGGATTTATAATGCCAACGAAGGACATCTTGGTGCTCTCCAGGCCCCTCCAGCACCGTTCTCCCTGCAGGAACCGAGGCCGAGGAGAGCCCGTGGTGGGTTCGGGCTGGTGGCCCCGCAACCAGCGGGCTCTGGTTTAATTTATGGAGGGGAAAAATTAAAAAAACAGCCTCCAGAAACCAGGTTAATCATCAGCTCCAGCAATGCAGAGTCTGGTTTGTCTTGCGCCCAAGCGGCACCGCTTAATTAGCACCGTGGGGCTGTGATTTCGGTGTGAAACTCGGGTGTTTTAGCTAACTTTTTAAAAAATACATAAATATAGGGCCAGGGAGATTCATGCACGGACCTTCTTCTTCTGCAAACGTTTCACCTTTCTTCAGGGTCCTGGTGTGTGAACGCAGACCTGCTCGTAGTCTTTTTTTCCTGTTTTTTTCTCTTCTTTGGAGAAATGAAACCGGCCACGGGCAGCGTTTGGTTCTGTTTCCCCTTTTGTCCCACAACAGAGGTGGCATTAAGGCACCGAACCCCGAGCCAGCCTGCTTTCCCCTGCCCTCCCGCCTTGGAGAACACAGGTTTTATCCCCCAAATAACCACAATTTTGTCCCAGGCAGCTAAGGCAGGGCTGGCTTCTCAGCTTAACATAAATTTTGGGGGGTATTTTGATGATTTCTGAGCGTTCGGTGCTGTAAATCAGTGATTTTTGTTGGAGCAGGCGGGAGCGATGGGCACGTTGAGAGCAGCAAACCTCAGCCTCGGCGGTGGTGCTGTGGGAAGAAATACCTGCGAGTGTTTGCTGTGTAAACAGCGCAATTAAATCATAAAGCAACGAATTAGGAGCGCCTTTCATCTCGGAAATGGATTATTTTGGGAGGCGCTGGCACAAAGCGAGGGGTTGGATAATTTTTTTTCGGAGGTTTTGTTCCTTTGCTCTCCTTTAACCATTTCCATAGTAACCAGCGGGGACTGAACCGGGATTATGGCTTCAATAAGGAAAAAGCTGCGGGGCCGTAGCTCAGGCTCTTATAAATCCCCTATTTATACGATTACTGCGAGGAGCAAATGGTTTCCGAACAGCTCCTGATCGATTTTGGTGGATCTCGGGTCCCAAAACATCTCTGACTCGCCCCACAGTGAGTACATTCAGCACAGAGCTTGGAGAGATCAAGGAGAGCAGCAAACGTCACCACAAAGGACAACAACTGCTCCTTACCTGGATGAAACCTGCTTATATCAAGCAAAAAATGATGCTGTGGGACCTGGGAGCTTTTATTTTTCTTTTTTTTTTCCTTTAACACCAGCTCCTGCAGCCAGAAAGGAGGAAGAGCAGCTTCAGGGATGGAGCCTGTCTTTTTTTTCCAGCCCTGACCCCTTTTAACTCCTCGAGAAGAGACGTTTATTTGCTGGAGAAGCACTTGACTGGTAACAAAACCATCCTCCGAGCCTTAAATGAAAGATAAGGAGAGCTTCAGTATTCCGGTCACTCCCCGAGGAAAGTGAGCTGCTGTTAGCTCCCGGGAGGAGGAGAAGCTGTCGGGCAATTTTGGTGACTTTTAGGGGATCCAGGGGATCACCACCTGCATTTAATGTGGGCGCTCAGGGCCGCCTGAGCAGCCCAGGGGATTTGGGGAGGGGCTGGAAATGCAGCAGGACGGGCAAAATGGGAGATCCAAGCAGAAATTAAACCCCTGCAGTTTCCTTCCTGGGATTTTGGTAAGGGCCAGCCCTGAGCAGAGGGGGAAGCAGCTCTTCAGGCTGATTTTTAAGGCGGCGGAGAGAAGGAAACGAATAAAAGATTTGGATTTACGAAGCCTCCTTTGGGAAGGAGGTGAGAGCCACACTTGTGTCACGTGGGGACGACGAGCTGGCACTGATGAGAGGATGTTAGGTACCGAGCAAAACCACTCCAAATCAGCACTCGTGGCTAATTTGCACCTAGGAATCCTAAAATAATCAGCCCGAGAGGTCGTTAGCCTGCTGCGTTTTGATTTTGATCCTTTTTTTTTTCTTTCCGAGCACTGGATAAATTCCAGGGGGCTGGTAAAACACCGCGGTTTGAGACTCCGGGCAAGAGGGGTGAGCTGGGTCAGCAAAGCGATTTATTTAGGGCCCTTTTTGGCCCTAAACCTTTGAAGGCGACGCAAAACCCAGCCTCTTCCCTTGTTGTTACGGTGGAAGGAACCAGAGGGCTGCACGGGGCTCCTGCCAGGAAGGAAAAGCGCCGAAGCCCAGGGGGGGATTTCTCATTTCTCACATTCCTGGGCACGGCACCCGCATCGCCCGGCACCGGGGGCTGCGACCTGGCTCCCTGCAGCCACCGGGATGGGCAGGAGGGGTTTGTGTGCTGGAACAAGGAGTGGGAATCCCAAAATTGCCAGGATTGAAGGCGTGAAGGATGGGAGTGACTTTTTTTGTTGGCAGGCGCTTGGCAAGCAGCCTCGCAGAGCCCGGCTGCGTCTCCAGCCTGAGGAGCAGCTCGCCACGGGGTGCTAGAAAAGAGGAATCGGGCGAGGGTGGAAGGGCAGGGGGGTTATTTTCGGCTCCTTTCACGGTGGTGAGGTTTTAGGTAGGGGAAAGTGAAGCTGAGCTGAGAAATGAGAGCGCAAGTGCTGCTGTGGGGCCGCCACCAAGCACGGGGAGAGATCAGACACACGTGGGACGAGCTGGTGATCGTCTCGGGGAGGCGATTTGGGGAGGAGCCCTTCGTGCCCTGAGCTGAAGAAACGAAAGCTGTGACCCAGCTGGCGAGCACGTGAAGAGGACGACAGAGGGGAAAATTCAGGAGCCCGGCGGGGAACCCTGAAGACGCTGCTGCTGGGGCGAGCCATGGGGTAAATCCAGCGAGGGCGGAGAAGGAAAAAGAGACGGGGCGGCGATGAAAGGAAGAGCTGTAAGATAAGATGTGTGCTCGAGCCTCTGCCTCTATCAATAAATGATCACGTAACGAGACCCAGCTCAGCCCTTGATCCCACACAACATCCTCACCCCAAACCCCTGCTTGTGGGGGAATCGCCTCCGAGCAGCCGGCTGCGTACGGGAGGAAGATGTTTTAAAGCATGTGTGACCCCTCTAAGGCTACAGGTGCTTTAATTGCATCTTTGCAGCTCTTCTACACTCAGCTCTGCAAGCTCCAGCCTCCTGCGGGGTTTTTTTTGGGGTGAGGAAGGCTGGAAAGCAGAGGAAGGAGCACACCCCTCTGCCCAATTTTCAGCGGGGGGGTGGCGGGGAGCACGGTTCAGAGGGCGCGCCGCAAATGGCCCCGTGCGGTTGGAGATGCGGCGGCGCCTTGAACCTCGCTGCCATCCTCATCGTCCTCCTCATCCTGTGCTTTCTCCTGCTTGGCTTCTCTAAAAAATTCAGGAAATTCACAGGACTTTAGGAAATATTTGGGTGGCGACGGGGAATGGGTTGCAGCAGGTACCTGGAACCGGGGGCTTTTAACCCACGTTCGGACGGGGTTAAAGCAGCCAAATACTGGTTTTAGGAGTGATTGTTTTTTTTTTTCCCTTTATAAAGAGCACCTCCAGCCTGCGCCGGGCCTGAACCAGCAGCGAGCCGTTTGCACCCGTGCTGGTTTTTAACCCGGGATCCAAAATAACATTTTAAATCTTACACATTCAAGGGTTTTTCTCGCAGTTTCGCCAGGGAAATCCTTCCTTCCTCGCCTTTCCCGAGCGCTCCCGCTGCCTCTGAGGGCAGAATTGACTTTTCCCTGCCAGTTCTTCGAGTGCTAAGAGGAGAAAAAGGGAAAGGCGGCTTCATTTCCAGCTGTCAGAGCTCGGAAGTGGTTTCAAGCCCCCGTTCAAGCTCTGAGCTGGGCTGCCCTGACCCTGCAGGGCCTGACGGAGCAAACTCTTTGTCTTTTCAGAACAAGAGCAGCGGCGAGCCCGAGAGCAAGCAGTTCAGAAGAGATGACGAAGAGGAGACCGTCAGGCACAAGTAATTATTTATTTATTCCCAATTCTCTCTTTCATGCACTGTTTGGGCGCTGCCCTCGTGTTAGGATCGCAGAATTGCTGGAGTGGTTGGGGTTGGAAGGGACCTCAGCGACCCCCTAATTCCACCTGCTGTGCCACCACCACCCCAGGTTGCTCTGAGACCCATCTTTGGCTTCTAACATGCAACTCAGGTTTGGTTTTGGTGTGAATTTAACCTCCTTCTGTAAAGAATCTGAGATGGGGGAACGCCGAGGAAAGCCCTCCAGCCAACTTAATGTATTTTTGGGGGCAGCAAGGGGAAGGCGATGCCCTCGGAGGCACCTGGAGTACAGATCGAATCCACATCCACCACTCCATCCCCGTCACTCACACCTGCGTGGTTTAAAAGTGCATTTTTTTTCCACGCACCGGGGCTTTGCAGCTCGCACCTGGCCCACTGCTGTTTGTTCATCACCGAAAAACGCGAGCGCAGGGGAACCGCGGAGAAAACGGAGCGAGATCCCCTGCTGCTGGGGAATAACTCCTGGCAGGAGCTGCGAGCCTTCTCCAGAAGCACCAGGTGGTGTTTTTTTTTTTGATTTTGGGCTGGGAGCGCTTCTCGAGAGCGATCTCAGAGGCTGAACTTTCATCCGGAGGCGCCGCCGGTGGGTTTCGTGCCGGCAGGGTCACGGGATCCGGGCTGAGGCTGACGCAGGAGTTAAAGATCTCGGAAACGCTGCTGAATAATGAAGGAGCAGCTCTCGCTTTGCAGCCCTGCCACCTGATCTGCGGCGTGGCGAGGTGCTGCGGGGTGCTGCTGCCCTCGGACGAGGAGCATCGCATCTCCTGCGCTCCTGGAGGTCTTTTTTCCAGTGTCAGGGAGCTCTCCTCGTGCAGCAGGTTCACCAAATCCTTCCTCTGCCTGCAGCGATGCCCTTGAAACCTCACCGAGGTTACGGGCAGAGCGAGCAGGAACCCCTGTGCAGTCACCAGGAAACTGCCCGTGGACGGAGGGCATCTCCTAAAATCCGTGGGAGTGATGCCTCCGGGGAGGGAGGCAGCTTTTTGGGGCGAAAAACTTTCCTTCCCAGCTCGCTTTCCCCGCAGGAGTCTGGAGCTCTTTGCCAGGATCCAAATGTGACTTTTGCAAGGCAAATTAGGGCAAGATCGGCTCGGCAGGAAACGTTTGAATCCCAAATTTGGCCGAGGCGAGTCGTAGCTTCGCAGCTCAGCTCCAGCCCATCCAGGGATTTCTGTTTGACTCGTCGAATGCCCTTTTTTTTTTTTTCTTTTTTTTTGCTGGCTGAAATCGGCCGCGTGCTTCGAACGAGACCTTGGGGGGGGCCAGCAAGCCGCTAACTCGCTTCTCATCTCGGATTTTCATTTCCCGGTGAGCTCGGCTGAACTTTCTCAACCCTTCGAAAAGGCGGAACCGCTGAGCGCCCAATGCCTCGCCGCCGGCTGGTGCTAAAAGCTTGAGCTGAGCTGATCTCTGCTCCTGCTCCCGGGAGCTGAAACCTGCCCTGGCTGCTCCCTCACCCCCCAAAAAACAAGAGCCTGGGTAGCTGGGCTGCTTCCTCAAGCTGCAAACCCCCAAAAACACAGCCAGGCTTTAACCACAGCCTGGTGCCTCCTCCCATCCTCGGGGGCCAGGACTTTGCACCCAGGAGCCTGCTTTGCAGATCTCTTCTAGCTGCCAGCGTGACGACACGATTTGGGGCAGCTTCCTGTTTTTTTTTTTCTGCTCAGCTCACAGCTCTCCCCCCTCTATTTTTTATTTTTTTTTGTGTGTTCCTTGTTATTATCTTTCACGCCGCGAGATACCGCGGCGGGAACAAGTGCTGACGAGGCCCTCGGTGCAAAACGCAGCAATTTAAGCTCGGCTCTGCCTCTCTGGGGGGTTGATATTTCTAAGAGTTTCAGCGCCTGGCTTTATTTGCTTCCCAGCTCTGCTGCCCAGGGGCGTCGGGGCGTTAAAAGCGTGAATAAAAACCCAAAGCAGGGCTTGCAAAAAGGAAGGGGGATCAGAAGCCGTCGCCTAGAAAATCAAGCCTCAGCTGCTGCTGTTTCACCACTGAATCAGCCCTGAACGTTGCAGCTCAGCTGAGTGCTGGGCAGGAGCCGGGGGAAGAATGTCACGGGGCAGGGCAAAACCACTTGTTTTTATTTTATCTTTCATTTTTTTCTTTTTTTTTTTCACACCTCCCCTCTGCACAAAAAACACAGCAGCAAATCTGCTCCGCCAAGGCAGGAGCACGGTATCCGCCGTGCCGTTGTCCTCCCTCCCGTCCTGGAGAGGCTTGTGGAGGGCTCAAAAAATATTAAATAAGGGGAAAAAGCACTGCACATCTCTAAGGCAGGTGGTGTTTTTTGATAGCCAACCCCCTGCCTTGCCCCCCTTCCCAGCAGTGCCCTCGTTATTTCAGTTTTACGTCCCTCCCGTAACCAAACCGGAGCGTTTTGGGGGCTGAATTTTGGGTGTTTTTTCCCTCCCTGCGTCCCGCCTGCAGGCAGGGGGTTGGCGTGGTGCTCGGGACCCCCAAGCCTGCCCTGAACATCTTTTTTTTCCCAGTTTCAGCCTCGTGGCACCCTCCTGGTGCATTTGGAGTCCTCCTCCTGCAGCACCCGGAGATGCATCTGCCCGCCCCGAGCCCCGTCTGCGCTCCCCGAGGAGCACGTCCTGAGACAAAAAACCTCCAAAAAAAACCCCAAAAACCTCCAAAAAAAACCCAAAAACCTCCTCGGCGAGCTTGGGGGCTCGAGGTGGAAGAGAGGCGCCTGTTTTTTGGCATTCCTCGAGTGCCTCTGGGAGGAGGATGCGCTGCGACACGCTCGACTCTGCGCCCAGATCCCTCTGCAGGGGCTGGGGGAGCTGCCGGGCTCTGCCCCTGCTTGTTGCTCCCTCCTCTCCTGCCCCGGGTGAGGAATCCAGGAACGGTGGGAAAAGCTTCACCCCCTTGATCAAACAGCAAAAAAATTAGGGTTGTGAAACGGAACCTGCACCATAAGTCTCGCAGTGCCCCCAGAGGGTGGTGGTGCTGCAGCAGCCCCTCGGCACCTCCCTCGTGTCTCCCACTTCTCTTGCGTGCCCAAATGTGGCCTCCTAGGAGCGAGTGAGATTTGGGGAGGCAAAGAAAAACCCAAATTCTTGCCGTGGTTTCTCTCTGAAGGGCGAGATGGAAATTGTCACTTGGTTTTGAGCCGCTTGGAGCGGCCGTGCCAGAAAGTGGCCGGCTCTGAGAGCAGCTCGAGGAGGTGGAAGGGCAGCAAATTCTCAAACCAGACACCGTTTCTCCACGCCTTCAGGAGAAGATTGCCCGAAACAGCTTGAGGCAAGGGTGTGAGAACACCCAGGACTTCCCTAAAAGAACGCAAAGACCTGGGCTTTATTCAACCCACCCCTGCGGGAGACCCCCGGCTGTCTCGTTAACTGGATATTTTGAACCCTTTTAATCCTTCCTGCTGTTTTGGGGGCTTGCCCTTCATCCGTCTGTCTTTATAGATGGATAAAAAATTGGGGAGAGCAAGGCAGCAGCTTCTGGTGAGCCGAGCACCGCGGGGTTCGCCTGCCGAAATCCCCCGCGGGTGCTCTGGGCGCTGCTGATTCCCGGAGGCAGGTGCAGGGAGCTCCTCCAGCATCCAGCAGCTAATTAAAGGGATCCCTTTCTGATTTCTGCTTTGTTTTCCCCTCCCTCCTGCAGCTGTGCGTGGCTTTAACAAGGAGCTGAAAGCACCGGGGGGAACGGAGCTCGTGCCCTGCCCATGGCACGAGGGGAGCTGGGCGCAGCCCCGCGGCCGCTTCCCCTTCTGCTGGTGCTGCTCCCGTCCGTGCCAGCACCTGCTGGGTTGTGCAGTGCTTTTTTTTTTTCATTTTAATCTCGTGGAGAAATCTCCAGCGAGCACGGGCAGCGCCGGCTAGCAAGGCTTTTGTTTGCCAGCCCAGGTGGGGCTTTCTGTGGGCTAAGCACGGAGCGAGCGGCTTGCCCCGGCAGCCCCTCTTCCCTGCTCGTTCCCCACACGGTGCCGGCCTCCCGATGAGTTTGGGAAGGGGCTGAAGCTTGTGGGAACGTTGCTAAATCCATTTCGGGTGGCGTGGCCGGGGCTGAGCAGCCGGCGTTGCCGGCACAAGCTGGTGATGTTGAAATAGGGCTTGTCAGGGTGCAATGCTAACGTCTCGCTGGCCTGAAGGAAACAGCTTGCTCGGCTCCCAGCTCTCCTTTCAGCCCCTCTGACCTTAGGGCAGCCTGTGTTTGGTTTCTGTTCGGCTGTGGGAGAATCCTAAACGTGAGTTAAACCCAGCAGAAAGCGGGGGAGAGGCCGAAATTCGGCGTCCTGCAGGCTCTGGTGCTGCCTCTTGCTCCGATAAATCCTCTCCAGCGAGCAGGAGCAGGCTGGTGGCCAGATGTCCAGCATCACAGCCTGACACCCTGTTGCCTCCCGGGTGAATTAGCTGCCTCCCTCCCCTCCGCCTCCCAGGTGAGCAACAAAATTTGGCTGTCCCTAAGCTCCCGGTGTACCGGTGAGAGCTGTGCCTGGCCGTGGCATCGCCTTCTGCCAAAAATAATCGCTTGATCATCCGAGATCAGGCTTCCCGAAAAGCCCTGCCTTGCTGGCTGGGGAGTGACGCTGCTGGGTCCGGGTTAATGCAATAAATTCCTCCTCCCGGGGCACGTGTGTGTAAAAAAAAAAACACAAACCAAACCAACCCTGTAAAACCTCACAGCAGCTTGTCCTCGGGGGTGGCTGCTTCCTGCGCCGGGCGCAGTCCAGGCGCGCCTGGCCGGGGGGAGGTATTGAAGCAATGGGCTAACCACGAGCTAATCACGCCCCCGAGTTTCTTTGAAGCATCCTTTCTTCAACAAGCTGGCTGAAACCAAAAGAAATGGCTCGTTTCTAGCCCAAATTGAGGCAGGAGAAGGGGGCAACTGGGTGAATTTGCCAGGGGTGGGGAGGGCAGGGTGCTGCGCCCCGGGGCTGTGCGCTTGTGCTCCGGGGTGGGTTTCCCCTTGTGCTTCCCACCGCTCTCATCCTTCTCCTTCTCATCCTGGGCTGTAGCTCGAGTCCTTTTCTCATCCCTTGCTTTGCTGCGAGCCCCAGGGATGGGCTGTATCTCACCACGGAGCCTGGCAAAACTGGAGCAAATCCCCTGCACAGCCCCATCGGCACTGCCCGAGGCAGGATCCGAGCCCGCAGCGAGTGCCTGGGTTTGTGCTTGAACCCCTTAAACCCACCCAAAGCCTTTTACGTGCATTTAATCGCCGGCATGCCCGCCCCTCACTGCCCTCTGCTCTTCTCCTTCCTCCCCAGGGAGATCAAACTGCGAAACTACGACCCCGAAGATGAGGAGCTGAAGAAGAGGAAGGTGCCCCCGGCCAAACCGGCCTCAGGTGAGCAAACCCCGGGAGCTGGGGGCGAGGGGGGACCCAAGCAGAAGCAGAAGCAGCGGTGGTGCTGCTGCCAGATCAGGCAGAGCCCTTGCAGGGGTTTTATTAACTGCTGGGACGAGGCTGACAGCACCCTCGCAGCACATTTCATCCTCTCCTGCTGCCAGGCAGTGTTCAGGGGGAACGAGGCAGCACTTAATGGGCAAAAAAAAACCAGCACAGGGCTCCACATCCAGCCAGAGGTGGAGACCTGGTCGGCAGGAATGCTGCTGCTGTGCCCTCTTTATCCTTTTTTAAAATTTTAAACTTCCTTCCACTCTTCCCCTGTGTGTGGTTTGGGATCGGGAACAGCAATTTTGGAGTGTTCCCAGTAAAACCCAAGCTCCCTGCCACCCCCCTTTGGAGCCGCAGTGCCCGTCAGGTGCAGCTCCCGTGCCTGCAGCAACCAAACCCCAAGTCCTGGGGCACTTTGTGCAGGGGCTGGGGAGGGAGGAGGACGGAGGAACCGGACTCAAAACGGTTTCACATTAAATACACCTTGGGTAAACGCGTTTGCTGGAGCAGGATTCGGTTCATCCCTGATGGATGTGCTCACGCCTCGGTTCTTGCACTCCCTCCTTGCACCAACACCTCGATTAGCAGAGGGAAAGCTGCGTGCTGACCCCTTAGCTCCCCTTTTTTCCCTGATATCTGGAGCTCCCAGATACCTCACAGAAGGGCAGGGCTGGAGCTGGGTCCCTGCGAGGTGCCCCACGCTGCGCCCTCGGAGGTGAGTCACAAATTGCAGATTCAAACCCCGCCGACCTGCCGAGCAGCTCATCACTGCAGACCTTGCCAAATAGGACTTGAACCCAGAAGACTTCCCTGCTGCTGGGTGCTCTTTGTGGGGTTTACCTCGCTTTCAGGTGGTTTCGGGGAGTTTCTGAAAGGATTTGGGTGGCGGAAGGGTGCATGGACCCACGGGGATTCGCTCGTAGGTGATTCCTCTGAAGGTGACGCCGTTCAAACAGGCTTTAATAAGCTGCTCTGAAACAAGCCTGGGTTTTCTGGTGGGTTTTTCCCTGCTGTCCCCTTGCTGTGCCTTGTGCTGACGCTGGTCCTGTTCCCCCATCTAGTGGAAGACGTGGTGAAGGAGCAGCTGGAGGCTGCCAAGCCGGAGCCCATCATCGACGAAGTGGTACGTGCACCGAGAGCTGCTCCGTTTCGGGCACTCCTCTGCCTCCCTTCCAGCTCTCACTGCCTCTCTCCTCTTCCTCCTTAGGATCTGGCAAACCTGGCCCCCAGGAAGCCGGACTGGTGAGTGCTTGAGGTCCCGGTGTCACCATCCCCTCGGGGTTGTCTGGTTTGGGTTAGATTTGCTAGAAATGAGGAACTCAGCTTGTCCTGCTAGGAAAAGCGCAACGTGGCCCCTGCCTTCACGTCTGCCCGGGGTTGGGGATTTGTTCTCACCCTCTCCTCCTCCTCCTCCCCAGGGATTTGAAGCGAGACGTGGCCAAGAAACTGGAGAAGCTGGACAAGAGGACTCAGAGAGCCATTGCTGAACTGATACGTGCGTGAGGGTGCTGCGGGGTGCTGTGCGGGGTCACCCCACGCAGGGCACACGTGGGGAGCTCCCTGCCTTGCTGCTGGGCTGGGGAGGGACTGGTGGAGCTCGATCCCCTTCCCAAAAGGGGCAGGCAGCCGTTTTGGGGTTGCTCAGCCTCTCCCTGTGGGTTTCCCAGTACGGGAGGCCAATTGCTAAGCAGCTGCTGCTTCTCTCTTGCAGGAGAGCGACTGAAAGGGCAGGAGGAAGAGCTGGCATCAGCAGTCGGGTCGGCAAAGCAGGATGGAAGCGACTCAGACTGAAGAAATCCATCCAGCAGCCTCGGGCACGGGCTCTGCCAGCAGCACCGAGCCCATCGCTGGGACACGCTGAAGCCCCCAAGTGCTGCCGTGCAGCTGCTGTGTGCTCAGGACCTGCTCTGTGCTGGGAAAAGCACCCAGCTGAGAGGCTAACGTGTTTTTTTTTCTGCTCCTTGACATTCCCAGACCCTGCGGGCTGTGCAGCCTGTGCCCCTCCTTCCAGATGTTTTATAACGGACAGAGTTTGTTGGAAGAAATCTTTTCTTAATAAAACAATCCCGCCGTGGAAGGAGCTGTCTCTTGTTCTATCAAGGTTGAGGCAGCTCAATTAATCCTCGGGGACTTCACCCCACTGGGTCTGCAGGTCCCTGTCCCCTTCACGTCCCGTGGCAGCGGGGATGTTGCAGGTCGGGCACCTCGGCCAGCCACGGGGGCTCCCGAGTTTTTCGTTTGAGTGGAAAGCGGTTTTGTCCCAAGGTAAAACATCTGGTGCACATAACCCCGACAGCGGGATTTAGAGCAGAGTTAACCTGTGATAAAAATAGCTGGTCCTGTTAATGGCACGCATCCCGCTGCTTTTAAAAGCCTGCTGAAAAAGCAGCTGGGAGGAGAGGTCTGGAAGGGGGGCAGAGCACGTGGTGATGCTCCGAGGGGCTCGACCTGCTTGAAAAAGAGCAGGACCCACCGAGCTGTGGCACTGGCAGCTTCTCCATCGCCAAAGCAGAGCTGTCTGCTGAGCTGGTGGCCTTCCCCGCTGATGAATTCGAGAGTGTTTCACGCTGGCTCCACCGTGTGGGTATTTTTGTGCTTATTTATTAATTATCTTGGCCATCGCATGCCTGAACGTGCAGTTCCTTCACCGGGAAGGAGATTGGGGAACGCGATCCCACGTCCCCTGCAGAACCACGGCCTCTCCTCCGTGAGATGCCCTGTAGATGTCAGCAAACCTCCGCTCACAAAGGAGCACACCAAGGGGTGTAAATTCCCTGAAAGCTCTTTTTTTCCCCACTTTGGCTGCGGGCACAGCCCTTCCCAGAGCAAAGGTGTCCGTCTTGTCCTCCTGCTCGTGGCAGAGCAGCTGTTTGAAGTCGTATTTCCTCGCCACGACAAAAGGAAAGCAATTAAAACCCGCTTTTTTGGACAAAGGGAGCGTTCTTGAAAGATTTGTTTTCTCTTCCAGCAGTTTTAACTTAACCACGGGGTTTTTTTTGGGATGCGTTGCGGTGTCCCAAGGACCCACCTGAAGCCCCCTTGGGGAGCTCAGTCCTATGCACATGTCCTTGGGGTGCTGCTGTGGTTGAAACACCCCAAAAAACATCACGGATTTGCTTCCCTCGGTTTCCCTGGAGGAGAAGAGCTCCTCTGAGCGCTGGGCTGGAAGAGGACGACCAGAAACGAGAACCCCAAAAACCAGGAGGCGACTTGGCTCGGGGTCCTTTGCGAGGTGGACAGCGGGACCAGAATTAACAATTAATTTCCTCTCCTTTCTGCCTCTCCTTTTTTATTATTTAGTCTCTGCTGGTTTGCTATATATGATTTTGTGTGTTTGTAAACATATAAATATATATATTTCCCCTTCTTATTTGCAGAGATAAGCTCAAGATTATAATTATAAGATTATAATTATCAGATTATCTCCAGCCAGGGTTTGGAGATGCTCACGCGCTGACACCAAACACCTCGTATCCCCGTTAGGATGCGCCCAGAGTGCCAAACTTTCATATTTTCGGCACAAAATTTGCCACGGGGTGGCCGTAGGAAGGCTTGGTGAGCCTTGCAGCGTGCCCTGCTGCAGGAGCCGCCCCTCAAAACCCAAAAAAACCCAAAAACGGGGACGTTTTGGGTTTTTTTTGCTCTGCAAAGCTCTGCGTTCGCTGCGAAGCTTTGCCCACAAAGCGCTGGTGGCTTGTGAGCGGTTTCAGATGTCCCGTTTCTGCCCCATTCTTTCAGCCAGAGCCTGGTTTCCAGCAAACTCTGAATATTCATGAGCAATTTTTCCAACGATGCGGGGATCCTTCAGAAGCAGCCTTTCATGGCTAAATAACACGAGCGGGTAAGGAGTAGGGTTTTGTTTCTATTCTCCGGGAAATCTCATGAATTTGGGTTCTTTTCTCCAAAAAAAACCAAACCAAATTCAAAGCTCTCCGCAACACAAAACAAAATTAAAAAAAAAAAACCCTGTTGGACTACCCAAAATGCGACTCTGAAGCTGAGACGCGCGCTCCGTGATTTGCTAACGCCAGAGCTCATCTCTACCAAAACGCTTCTTTCATTTATTCCTTCTTCCAGAAGCCGTTCGGCCACGACTGGGGAGTGTTGGAAAAACTGTGATTTCCAACCCAAAGGGCTTTCTGGGACGCCCTTTTCCCAGTGATCAGAGAAAACTGGTCCATGGTGGAGTAAAAAAAAGTAGCAAAAAAGAACACTTTTTTTTTTTTTTTTTTCCACCCCCAGGTTTACAAATTTTTCAAGAATCTACCTAAAGCAGAATTATTTTTAATTTTCGAAGGAGTAAACCTCAACGACGTCAGCTGGATATTAGAAAACAGATGTTATTTAGGAAATAGATAATATTAATAATAGATAATATTAATAAAATGTAATAGATAAGAAAGAGCAGTCGGGCATTGGGATGGGTTGTCCAGGGAAGTGGTGGAGTCACCGTCCCTGGGGGTGCTTAAAAGACTGTATACCCCTGTAGGTAAGGGCACGCCGTTTATCAAACGTTATTCTCCCAAATGGGGCGTTTTTTCTTCAATAATTAAGCAGTTCTTGACTGATTTACTGTGTCATGACTTGCTTGATACCATGTATTTTTTTTTTTTTCCTGCCAGGCTACAAGCTCTGCCTCAAAAATCGTTATAGAGACGGATGTAGATCCTTTTTATGACTTGAGGAACTCAGTTCTTGCTGCTTTGTCCTAAGAAACAGGGGAAAAAAAGGGAAAAAAAAGTGGCTTTCTCCATAGTGGGCTCTGCTGTCCTGTGCTCTTTGCTTTCCTGGGGCATTTATTGAATTTTCTTGGCCACCCCTCTGTGATTTTTTGGGGGCATCATCTTTTGGTTAAGGCCCTTGGGCCTCATCTCATTAAGTGCCTCTTGATTTAGTGCCCAGGCGATGCTCATGGGCTTGGGAAGTGAATTTAGCTAAATCAGATTAAACCACTTCAGTTCTGAATGAGAACGTCCTCGCTGGGTTTTAATGCAGTTTAATTTCCAACCTTAATGACTCTGTGATTCCACCTTCCTTCCTTCCTTGCTTGGAGAAGGGAAGGGGAGAGGACGGATGTCCATTTTTTGGATGTGAACCATGCTTTGAGCTGTTTCTGGGCTTTTTGCAGCCACGTGGTGGGACACTGCACTTTTTCTGGGTAAAAAACCACAAGACAAAGCCAAACCAACCCATGCCTTGTCCGATTCCTGCTGTCTCCGCTTTCTCCATCCTCGCTCTGCCTTGTGTCACTCAAGTCTGGCTCCTTTTTAGCAAACCCCATCTGCTGCTGCTGCTGCTGCTCTCCCGACCTTTTCTCTTTAATCGCTTGCATCTGCCCAGCAGCCTGTTTTTCTTCGCCGATCTGGAGCGTGATTGCTTTGCTGCCGTGTGGAAAGTGTGGAAAGCACTGATACGAGGCAAAATTGACAAAATTGTAAAACACGTCCCCGCAGTCCACCTACTGGGATGGAGGCAGCCAGGTTTTGTCCTGGGGGGAGCTGGCGGGTGGCTTCTCACCATCCTAAAACGCATGAAGTCCCTAATTACAACTTACCACTCCCAGTCACTAATTGCGTGGCCACGAGCAGAGCAGAGGGCACAGCCCCAGCCCTAAGTCATGATTTTCTCTGGGGCATTAATGGGGTGACCAGAGGCAGAGAAGCAGCAGAAGGGGGAATAAAGGGGACCAGCAGCACATCCCAGATGTGTGCTTTGGTGCTGCAGCCTCCAATCATAGAGATCTGGGATGTGGGATGAGCACATCACATTTTGCACATCACATTTTGCATGTCCTCTGATTTTTTTTTTTTTTTTTTTTTTTTTTTTTTTTTTTTTTTTTTTTTTTTTTTTTTTTGAGCCTTCCCTCTAGGCCCTGAGATCTGGAACTATGTCAAAGAGAAACGGAGATTTTTTCTTGTTGCCACACAAAAGTAAGGACGGACCTTTTAGAAAAAAAGTGAAATACGCTGCAGCTTGGAACAAAATAACATCAGATATTGATGCGCTGGATGGTACTTAGAGTCCCTTGGATGGTGGCTCACCCAAAAGTTTTCAGCTTGCCTGTTTGATCAAGAAATAAGTAAAAGCTTATCATCCATCCACCCATCCATCCATCCTTCCATCCATGGGTTGTCCATCATTCCTGCTCTGTGGACCAAAGGACACAGGGTTACTAGAAGCTGAGAACGACCTGGTTTTGCATGTGATCTGTTGATGCTGCAGTGTATGGACATAAATTTCTTGCTATGTGATAAATATGTAAAGGTATTTGTACATCCATTTTCATTTTCTCCCACTATCTTGGAGGTAGGATAAAATTTGGGAACACCCCCAGGAGATATAACCTGCTCAGAGATTTGCTCTGGAGAGATTTTTTCCTGTAGTTCTTCAAGAGGGAAAGTTGCTGACTTTGTCAAAAAGAGCAACTGGGGGCTGCTGCACAGCTAAAGAAGTGGTCAGTTGGTTTTCTCAGGGAAAAAATGAGGTCCAGCTGGAGGAGTTTCAGTCCAGAAGAGATGTATTTATTGCGATCTCTGCCCCAGATCCACATGTGGTGCCAGGCAGCCTTGATCTACTGAAAGGATGCTGCCAGGATTTGGGCCAGCTCGGCCTCTAAGATCTCCAGTTTTTGACATATAATTTAGGATGAGAAAGAAAACATCCAAGGGACCGGAGGAGACTGGCTTACTCCATCCTCTTGGTCACTCTCTCAAACCTCAGGAGTATAACTCGGGACTGAGCACAGATGGGTCAGGACTTCTGAGCAGGACCAGGGAACAGCAGAGCTCGCTGGGTGGTGATGCTTTCTGTGGATGCTTTCTGTGGCTTCAAAGTTTCCCAGCGCTGGCTGAAGCATCAGAGAGTGGCTCCTCAGAGCTCCCCGTGTTTCTCAAGTGGACTTAAGAACGTAAAAATGTCCCCATTCGGTCAGAAAGCAGCTCTTCCATCCAAGGATCCTCTTTCAACCAGCTGATATTCAAGGATAAGTACGGGGTGGGCGAAAACCAAGGTAGTCCTTTACCCTCACAGCTTTTGGCAGCCAGGAAATGGTGACAAACCCGGGTCTGAAGTTTTGTCC